TTGAGCGCCGCTATTTTTTGCTACTTCAGGTTTTTTGCGTCTAGGACTTTCACGTGATACCACTATCGCAGTCAAATTTGGTCAGCTTGTAAACCTGAAGCTAGAATTCGAGTGGAAGCTCATCCTCACGCCACCATTGCCATAGTAGTGGATCGATTACACGTTCTGACGATTAAAGTCAACACCTTACCTTTGCCATGTGTTGTATAGAAATTGATGTTGTGCAGGTGGTAGATGCAAGTGTTTTTCGTAGAAAATTTTTGGTTGTTTTTCATTTAAATAGGTGTCGGCTTCAATTCTTACGGCTTTCTTATCGAAGGTGTATTTTTCTTTCACTTTAATCGATCCTGAAGTTTTTTACTTAATGAAAGCCCCATGCTAATTTTATTAATTATTTGGATTCATGAGTTCTTGTGCTAGAATTTCCGGAAGCTTTTTCCGAATTTTAGGTCGAGGCGGCATCGATGGTGGTGGTAAAAAAGTTCCGGCACTTTAAAACCAAAAAAATTGTCAGACTTTTTTTTTTCTTCCGATGAAGTTTAATGCCAGTCGTAGCTCTAGAAATGTCTCAGGGGGTTAAAACATAAAAGATTAGTCGTTTTTTTTTTAGTTTGACCAAATTGCTTTCTCAAAACACTATAAAAGCCCTTCTTGTTAAGTTTTTCTGACTAGTGTTTTTTAACGAAGCAAAAAAGGACAGTTTGCGGTTTTTTGGCGGGCGCTCTCCCTCTTAAGTTGAGTGTATAGTAGCACCCAAGGTGCGTTTTGAAAAACATTTAGATATTGTAAAAAAATTTTGGGTGGCTAGGAGAACAAATCCCTGAGGGAGAAAGTCATCCCGCTTCCCCTAAATCAAGACAGGCTTTTGTCGAAAGATGTCTCATTATTATACGCTCGTTGTAGTGCTCAAAATTTCATTGGAATGTGCTTCAAATCAGAAATTTGCTCAATGCATTTCTAAACATTAGTGTGGAAGATAGTGTGATTAATCGAAATAGATATTGACAACCTGAGATGCCTGCATTTAACCAATTATTCATGATGTTCAAACTATAAACGCAACTTTGCGCGCGGTGAAAATAAATCCCAATTCCGACGCTTTAAATAATCATTCCAAATTAAAAAGAGCCTATTTAAAAGTTTATCAATAAGTTTACAAATTTACTTTTATGTTTATTCTATTCATTTTTACTTTTTACCCTTTTTTATAGGTTTTATTACACAAGTGAAGCGTGGTGTTTTATTACGAAGATTTTTTTCTAATAAGTCGCAAATAAAAGTGCTCATTTGGTAGCACTTTTGGTATATTTCTATTTAATCATATTTAACCCTATTTAAGCATAGGCATTTTAATAGCATATGTTGCTTTTTTTGGCTAGTCTTAGGTCCTTTTCGAAAAAACAGGTGTTTTTAAATTGTAAGGGGTTAGTTGTTTTTATGCGACGCTTTGGAAAATTTTTGCACTTTTTGCTGAAGTTCCAATTTTTCTCAATAACAAATGTACCGTTTTTTCAAAAAATTATACAAATGGACAAACTGGCTGATCTTCCATGGGCCTGCGTATTTTGCTAGTCTCATTTCAACTTTCCCCATATTCTACTGCCTTCGAAATTTTCAGATAAAACTTATGGCCTTAGAAAATGACCAATTTTTGAAATTTTGCCGTTTTTTGAAAACTTTTTTTCTTCAAAACTTAACCTGCTAATTCTGAGGTTGATAGTTCTTTCAAACTAACATGGAGCTTAGATGTTCCCTGCGTAGTCTTTTTCACCCTATTTTTTTTTCTAGAAAAGTTTCATCACTATTCTCGAAAACTACTAAATCTGATATTAAGGGTTCAATCTTAAATGCAGGGCGTAGAGATTTTCCCTGCATAAAAGGCTATTCCTATTCTTTAGTAAAGAAAAGTTTATGAATCGATTTAGAAAAAGTCTAATTTTTGAATTTTCGATCAGTTTTTGGAATTTTTTCACTTATTATACGCTCGTTGTAGTGCTCAAAATTTCATTGGAATGTGCTTCAAATCAGAAATTTGCTCAATGCATTTCTAAACATTAGTGTGGAAGATAGTGTGATTAATCGAAATAGATATTGACAACCTGAGATGCCTGCATTTAACCAATTATTCATGATGTTCAAACTATAAACGCAACTTTGCGCGCGGTGAAAATAAATCCCAATTCCGACGCTTTAAATAATCATTCCAAATTAAAAAGAGCCTATTTAAAAGTTTATCAATAAGTTTACAAATTTACTTTTATGTTTATTCTATTCATTTTTACTTTTTACCCTTTTTTATAGGTTTTATTACACAAGTGAAGCGTGGTGTTTTATTACGAAGATTTTTTTCTAATAAGTCGCAAATAAAAGTGCTCATTTGGTAGCACTTTTGGTATATTTCTATTTAATCATATTTAACCCTATTTAAGCATAGGCATTTTAATAGCATATGTTGCTTTTTTTGGCTAGTCTTAGGTCCTTTTCGAAAAAACAGGTGTTTTTAAATTGTAAGGGGTTAGTTGTTTTTATGCGACGCTTTGGAAAATTTTTGCACTTTTTGCTGAAGTTCCAATTTTTCTCAATAACAAATGTACCGTTTTTTCAAAAAATTATACAAATGGACAAACTGGCTGATCTTCCATGGGCCTGCGTATTTTGCTAGTCTCATTTCAACTTTCCCCATATTCTACTGCCTTCGAAATTTTCAGATAAAACTTATGGCCTTAGAAAATGACCAATTTTTGAAATTTTGCCGTTTTTTGAAAACTTTTTTTCTTCAAAACTTAACCTGCTAATTCTGAGGTTGATAGTTCTTTCAAACTAACATGGAGCTTAGATGTTCCCTGCGTAGTCTTTTTCACCCTATTTTTTTTTCTAGAAAAGTTTCATCACTATTCTCGAAAACTACTAAATCTGATATTAAGGGTTCAATCTTAAATGCAGGGCGTAGAGATTTTCCCTGCATAAAAGGCTATTCCTATTCTTTAGTAAAGAAAAGTTTATGAATCGATTTAGAAAAAGTCTAATTTTTGAATTTTCGATCAGTTTTTGGAATTTTTTCACTTTTTTCGAAAACTACCCAGTCAAGTCTGAGATGACGAATTCAATTGAAAGAGCGAGTAGTAATTTTTTCTTTCAAATAAGCAGCTAATCTCCTACTTAAACAGAGAAATAAATAGGATTTTGCGTTAAGTCCATTTTTTGACAATTACGCATTTCCGTATTAGTACAATATTTGAAAATATTAAAATAGGCGCATCCAGCATTAGCTGGGCCACTAGTTTCTTCCAAGTGACCGTGGTGAAGACGCAAGTACGTGAATGGCACTCCTAATCATCAGTTCGTAGATCCGAATCAGGAACATTGAAATAGTTTTTTTGCTCGAATTTTTGCAGCTTTATTGGTGGCTAGTGTTAGTATAATTACAAGCGGTCTTGGAGCAGATGTGAGAACGTGATACTCCTAGTCTCAAAATTGATATTCAAAGTTTTTCTTCACGGTTTTTCTACATTTTTTTTCTTATTTCACTTCGTTTTGCCTGTTTAGTGCTCTTTTCATTTTCCTCGCTTGTGTTAGCGAAGCGCAGCTTCAACTTTGCGTGTTACCTTTGCCGTTTTAACAGCTACTTTTTACCGTTTATTATTTCAGTTTGCAGCGCGGCATCTGTTAAATTGATTTCAGTTTGATTGTTTAGCCGATCATCTGTACAATTACCCAGAAATCGCCTTTAGGGTGGAGGAGTGAATATTTGTTGATAAACAATCTGCTGTTATCAATAGAAAATGCAAAAAAAAAAATATATATCATCAGAAATTAAAAAGCCTAAAAAATTAAAATTGAAAACCAAGCTAGCCAATTTCTACACATTTTTGCTCGTAAATTTATTCGTACTTTCATCATTAGAGTTACCAGTCCATTTTTCTTCAATTTAATAGGCCGAATGTTTTCTGGGCATCATGCTAACAGAAACAGCAGGTCTACTCAATGGAAGCGCGTTCATTTCTAAATGTATTTTTTTAAACTAAAGAATGAGCAGAAAGTTTTCGTATTTAAGCTTCACCGGTGCAGTAAAATGTCGGGCATTTGAAGATTTGCACATATTTTGTTAATTTTATCAAGAAAGCGTATTATGATATAATCAAACTCTTTTGTTATAACCTGGGTTTTCTTTCAATCAACCCGACTCGCAAAAATTAGAGCTCAATAAATGTAGAGGGATCATTTTATTTTAAAAAGATTTTCCGCTTGATATTTTTTTGCTTGTTTGCGAAATGCAGATCCGTCTCCGAGAAAGCATAAAGAAATATGATTGCTTATAAGAATCTTAATACGAGTACTTTTTTCCAATCCGCTTGATATTTTTTTCAGGAAAGTCTTAAAGTGCTCTAATAACAACAGATGTGGATTCATTTATTTATGCATGCATTTTTTGAGTTCAATTGAAATTCATCTGCTGAAAGTGACGTAAATAGTACTCTCCAATTACGAACGTGAAAATGGCAAGCAATTTTTAGATTTCAAGCGGAGTAAAAACTTTACCTGTTTTACGAAGCAACGAAACATAAATTTGTTTGAAAATATACGGCAAAATCTTTCTGAGTGGCTAAATCATAATTTTTAAACGATTTGAGAGCTCTAGGTGTCTTAATCTCAAGGGACCTGGTTATTTTCAAGCGACCACTCTATCATAGTAGTAGCAAAAATACTTATCGATCCAGTTTTCTCAAAGTTGTTTAATTTATCATAAAAGAGTCAATGATAAATTTTTCTAGAAGTTGTAAGATCTTGAATGTGAATTTTTTCTGTGAAATATGAAAATTGAAGTTTTTTTTTAAAAATAGGTCAGTTATTCTCTTTTTTTTGCGTTCACTGACTCTTTTCCAACTGTCTGTTGGCTATGTTCTTAGAAGTTTCAGCTTCCTTTGCCATTTTTTTAAGCTTTTGCTGACAAAAAGTGCAGCTCTTGCCTCTGCGTGAAAAAGTTTCCTTGTTTTGTCTAGACTCGCAGTATGCGAGAGTGTGTATGGATCCAAACAAGTAGACCGACTAGTTCAAATGCAGAAAAATGGAGTTGACCTTGATGGGTACTCGGACAATCCGTACAGAGAGAAGTTTCTGCCTGATTTTATGAAGCCACCAGCTTCTGTCAGGGAACATTACAAGTGGTACTACGAACGGTGGGCGGAACTCAAATACAAAGCAGACCCAAAGAGCCAAAGTATCCGAGAAGTTTGTGGCTCTCAGAAACAACGGACAGCTAATAAAAGTGATGGAAGCGATAAGCGAGGTGACAGTAAAAATGAGAATTTCAGGAAAGTTAAAAATGATAGCTTGAAAGGTCAGAGGTCAACTGATGATATTTTTCTAGAAGGTTTCGATTTCAAAGGAGCACGATCTGCTTCAAAAGAGGCCAATGACACATTTCAGTCGGTTGTATTACACCAGAAAACTACAGCTGAAATTAATAAATCGCAATCAAGTAAAGAAAAATCGGACCAATTCAATGCAAAAGAGCAGGCACCGAGACACTTCCATTCAAAAAGTGACAAAATTGATAGAGTTGACTTTGAAAAAATAAAAGAGGGTGCCAGTTCAAGTTATAGAAGTGACAGCCGGCAGAATAAAGCAGACGAAAAGGAAAGACCGAGGGAAGCTAGGCGCAAAAGGGAGAGAAGGTCTCGTGAAAAATCTCGTGACAGAGAACGTGCCAGGTCGCCAATCTTCTCAAGTAAAGAGCGCTCTTCGGGAAGATCGTCTGAAAAATTGAGGAGTTATTCAAAGTCTGATCTGAGAAAATCCGAAAATGAGCGAATGTCTTTGAAACAGTGTCGTGGAACCGAAAATTGTGATTCGTTACTGGAAATTCCCGCGAAGAAAGTAAATGATTCGAACAGATTACTGACGAGCCATGATGTTATTTCGGTTAAGCATGTTAGTGCATGTGAAGATGCCATTAATAACCTAGCTGACGCGAATATCACTAAAGGGTCTGAAGGAAAAGTTACTGGATCCCTTCGCAGTGAGATTATTTCAACAACATTGACAATTGAGTCCAAAAAAGATGACGACATAGGAGAGATAAAAGGTCGGATATCTGCACCAAAAGAGAATTTAGAATGTGGACAAAGCTCGACTGAAGTAACTGAGAAAATAAATGCAGGAGCGGAATCTTCGAATGAGGTTCAGAAGGAAACATGTACCAACTTCAACACAGTCGACGAATTCAAACTACTACGTGATAGACTACCATTCGAATGTGATTCTGGCGGTGACTATCTGAATGAAATTAAAATCAGCAGTCAAAATTTATCAGTGGCTGAGATTGACCAAATTCACAAAAATGTGAACAAAAAATCTGAAAAATTAAACGAAATTCATGCGAATATGAATCGAAGTAGTGAGGGTTTGTATGAAATCATCGAAAATTTGAATAAAAGTCTTGAAAAAGTGACAAAAATTCCTGAAATTGAGACTGGAATTGACGAAAATTTGAGTGTTGCGAAGAATAGAGTTAACACAAATAGAATTGAAATTGATCATGATTCCGAGGAAGGAGAAGTCTTTGACGAGGAAGGTCCAGGTCGAAAAGTGCGAGTTGAAAGTATAAAATCTGAAGAACGGTTATTCGATCTAGCTACAGAGAATAAACTTGTCATTCGGAGTAGTTCATCGTTTAGTTCACAGAAGCGCAATGAAAAATCAAGAAATTCGACCAGAAAAGAAGAAAGAAGCGTTAAGAAAAGTGACCGTTCTAAGTCTCGTTCGAGAAGTCGCAAAGACAAAGAATCTCGTGATAAACCGAGCTCCCGTCACGAATCAAAATACCAACGAACTTCTAGCCGCGAAAAGAGATACAAAAGTAGTCGCGACAGAAAACGCTCTAAGTCTAGATCGAAATCAATCGAAAGATCAAGAAGGAAACGAAGCCATGAAAGGTCGCGCGAGGATGAAAAGAAGCGCACAAAAAGAAAGCGTCGAGATGATTATCGTGATGACAAAGAAAACGTTAGAGATAGTAAACGAGGAAAAAGTGACAGATGTTATTCCGATAGAATTGTAGATCGGTTGAGATCCAAATCCAGATGTACGAACAGAACTTCGAGTGGCGGTGTTTCCGCGAAGAAAGTCTTATCGTCGCGGGAAAATATGAGAAAAACTCCTGATGATCAAAAGGAGGAAATAAAAGAGGAGATAGAAACTCCGACCAGAACAGATCGCTTGATATCGAATTCGAAAATCAAGGTCAAAAGTGACTCGGAATCCCCAAAAAGAGCTCATTCAAAAAATGGTTCAAGTTTTCACTTAAAACAACTTGTTCAAGTCTCTTTGGAAAAAACTAAAAGTGAAGAACCTAGAAACGAAGACTGTTGTTTAGATTCAAAACCTAGTAGTGAACCAGTTGATTTGAGTTCAAATTATTTCTCGAACCCTGCCAAAACAGGTCAGAAATATCTTGATTCTGAGACTTTTGATTCGAACGGGAACGTAGTCATTGGAGACATCGGCGATAATTTTAAATCATCGGAAAAATTGGACAATAAATTGGACCAGCTCAACAGTTCATCAGGCTGTAGGGAATCATTCACAAATGTCGAAGAAGAATCAGTGTTTGTGGAAAACTATTTGTTCTGCATGTACCAAGCTGATTACAATGATTGTGATTATTTCTATGCCAGCTTGAGCAGCTTTGAGAGCGAACAGAAAAATTTAATGACTGATTTTGACCATCTGTTGCAGCAATGCTACCAAGCCAAAAATTTCATCAAGACGTCAAAGGTAGTGAAAACTTCTATGGCATCGCCGGAGCAAGAGACAAAAAAAAATGATAAATTGTCGCAAAAATGGAAAATTTGTAGTCCTGGACGTTTGAATGACTCGCCATCCAAGAACACAAGGCAAGCAAAAAGCGAAAAATTGCGAGACAATTATTCTGATCTATATGGAAGTGCGGAGAGCAAGTTTCCCGCCTTTTGTGTACAAAATCAAACGTTAAAAGTATATACAAATCCTGCAACTATGAATGATTCGCCTTCTAAAAATACTCGACGAGCAAAGCGGCTGCGTCTGAGTTCTCAGAAATCTAAACAAAAATTGGACTCCGATTTGAATTTAAAATCACCTAGCAAAGTTTTGTCTAATCCTGGCGATGTACAAGATATCTCGTTGGGTCAAAATAATTGGAGATCTCTCAGTCAAATTTTAGCCGGATTGACTGACGATACAAAGGAAAAAAAAACTTTATTTGACTTTTCTCTTGATAATTCGGCTTTCTTGTCAAAAAGAGAAGTCACTCAGCCTCAAAATGAACCCGATAGCAGGGTAGCTCTTTCGTCTGATTCCGCATTTTGCAGCAAACCAGAAAAAGATAATTTTCCATGTGCAACTGAAAACGAACCAGAAATGAACATTGAGTTTATTGGCGATAGAGATAGGGGAACTTCCAAAAACTGTCGTGATATCAAAAAGACGTTGGAAGAGTCAACAGAATACAGTAGGGAGTGTAATGAAAATTCGAATAGCTGCAATGAAATCTTTATAGATAGTTGTTTAGTTGAGCCTGCTCACGAAACGGTGATTTCTGGTGATTTGGATGAATTAGAAAAGACTATTGTTGCTCCCCTGAACGATGATTGTGCCATTGATCAATTTGAGTTCTTAGAATCAGAAGCCAACTCTGTTGAATCGAACAATAGAAAAGCCATTCAGATCATAAATATGTTAGAAGTTACACGTGACGCAAATGAGCGGACGGAAAAGCGGAGTCAATCTGGCCATTGTATGTCAAATGAAAAGATGTTTGAAACCCTGAACAAATCGAGTTCGTTATCTCAGCAAAGTCGAAATCAGTTGAGTTCGGATAGTGAGGATGGTCTGAGGCCTCGTGGGAAGCGGAAACTTTGCAAGCGCAAATTACAATCTCGGGCAATTTTGGATACCAGTTCCGACGAAAATGGCAATGAGGCTGCAGTTGTAAGATTGCCGCCAAAGAAACAAAAGAAAGAAAAAACTAGTACGGAATATATCAAGCTTCTAAAGAATGCAAAACACATAAATGGTTCTGATTTGGAAGCTGATAGTTCGCTAATCCAAACTAGCAAGAACCCGAAATCTAGACTGCAAATTTTCAAGGACAAACTAAGAAACTCTAGTTGTCGCATTGGCAAATATGGTAAAATTCAAAAAAGGCGGGCTAGAAGTAGAAATAAACTAGTGAAGCGAAAACATTGGGAAACACTTTACGATGAAGTAATGAAAAGTAAAAGTAAAATTGAAAATAAAGTTGAGGATTCTGAACATGATGATTATTTTGGATCTGTTGCAAATAAACTTGAAGATGAACTTGAAGAAAATGTTACAGAATTAAGCGATGAAAAAGACAAAAAAACTTTTGACAATGTGTATCATACTGACTCTGAAAATGATACCACTCAAAAAAGTGATGGAAAAATTGAAATTGGTGGTGAAGTTTCTGGTGGAAAGGATTTTTGCTACCAAGATTTCGACTGTGTAGATGAACACGAACACCTCTCTGGGGATTTATCTGGTAATGAAGAAGATTTAGAAGAAGAAAGTGTACTATCAGAAGACGATGACCTGAATGGGACTATTGATGAATCTGATTGTGATGCAAGTTCGGAAGCTTTAGATATTGTGACCGACATCTCAGACCCAAGCGAGGTTGAAGATATTGAAAATCTAGAAAGAAAGGGGAACAAATCAAAGAGTGAAGAATTTGCGAATGAAGCAGTTTATCAGAATGAAAACAAAATCAATAAAGATAATTTTACAAACAGAGACATCGTAGAAACTAATAATAATTTGAATCGAGCTAATGCGTCAAATGAAAACAAATGTGATAAGGCATTTGATGATGTGAAAGAAAGTGATGAGCTTGATGATGGATCTCAACTATCTCAAAGTGAAAGTGCAACCAGCTCTCCGCCTTTATCTCCCGTAATCAAAAAAAGAAACTCAAACAATGGGAGTTGTCCACTTTTAACAAATTTAGTAAGTGTAAATAATAGTTTGTCTGGTATTAATTTGGTCAGTCAGTGTTATAATTCAGACTCGGAATCTGAGTGAAAAAGATTGCTGTTTTTTATCTGACTTTCATCTCCTTGTTTTTGCCAGTTGAAATTGTGTTTGCTGGAATAATATTTTGAAAATATTTGCTGAGAATAGTATTGCCTAATTATTTGTCCATAGTTGCCTCGTTTTTGTTGCAGTTGTAGATTTTTGTGATTGTTTTAGTGTTTTTTTCTGAATGATATTTTCGTAGTTTTAGAGTGATATTAGCTTAATAGATCAATCAAAAGTGACTTCTTTTTAGTGTCAAAATTTTCTGGAATATATTGGCGTTTCATTTAGGCCAGCAGAATGGTCAAGGATTTTTTTTCAGATTGTTGATTTTTTTGTATTGTGCCGGCCATGTTCAACCCTAAAAAATCTCTGAATGCGTCATTTGCCGCGCGAAAGTCCATGGGAAGATTTTCGGCAGCTGCTGAGAAATCGAACTTTTTATCAGGCCAGGAGTTTTTCCTTTCTCTCTATAACTGTCCACCCGATGGCGAAATTTCTATCGAAGAGATAGAAAATTTAACGAGTGAAAGAATCAAATTACTGAGGCTATTTGAAATTGCTAATATGAAGTTTTCGAAGAATACAACAGAGTGGACTGATTTTATTTTCAAGGAGCTGAAAGATTTTGAAAAAGTGTTTGCATTCAAATTTGGAGACGATGACAATTACGCGAAGATGTTGCGCAATGATATAGTGTCACATTACTTTATTCGTCTGCCCTACTGTCGAACTGATGAATTGAGAAAGTGGCTGTTAGCTCATGAGGTAGATTTGTTCAAGTACAGATTCATGAGGCTCCAGAATGACCCAGATGGCAAGAATATAGTGTCCAAGTTTCTAGGCAAGATTGACCTGAACTTGAAGGTCGTTTCATCTGGGGAGAAAAAGTCACACGAGAAATGGCTGAAGTTGTGTTTAGGTGAGTGAATCATATCACACGTCGATTAACGGTTCTTAAAAAGGAAGTTTCAATAGGTCGATTCTATAAAATGATTTTACATCTAATATATGGTTTTGCTGGAAATACATTTTTTGAAGGAAAATTAACTTTGGTACGTATTTTAAAACAATTTTAAGAGTAGATTCAATCTAGACTCTAGATTTGTTGCATATATATTTCGAATATATTTCAGGAAGCCAGAGTTCTAACTTCGAAGCAATTGAGTTCTACAAAGTTCACTTCACACAAGCACTAGATCTGGTTCGCAGCAAACGGGCATTCGTACATTCTGGATTTCTCTATGTCCCTCATACAGACCTCTCGTCAATAGTCATAACACATTTTAGAGCCCATTTATCCCTCGAGTTAGCCCGAACGTCTCAGCGACTATCTCTGATGGAAGACGAACGTGTAACACCGAGATTGGTGGCAATTAGTAACCAATATCTGGGCAAGAAGTTCGGCCAATCAGGAGGCGCTGTGTCAGTCGAACAGATTGAACAACTTGTGACGTCATCTTTCCCACTGTGCATGTCTTCTGTTCATTTTGCTCTGAAAGAGACGAAACATGCTAAGCATTGGGCTAGGTTGCAATACGGACTGTTCCTGAAAGCTATAGGGTTAAGCTCAGATGACGCGCTGGTTTTCTGGAGAAAATATTTGACCAAAAATGGAGACGCGGACTCATTTGATAAGAAGTACGCTTATTTGTTCAGACACATGTACGGAAAAGAGGGTAAAAAGACGAGTTATTCCCCATATAGTTGTGTGAAAATCCAAAATGGAAGCCAGCCTGGTACGGCCGATGAGTTTCACGGTTGTCCGTTTAAACATAACCCGACAAATGTTCTAACCGCAAAGTTGGACAAAATGGGATTACATAAGACTGAAATTAATGACGTAATGAGTTTCGTGTCGAGTAAAAATTTTTGTATGGCGTGCACGAAAGAGTTCGAGTATAGGCATCGTATAACTGAAAATGTGTTCACGGCTGTGACTCATCCGAATCAGTATTACGAGGAGTCGAATCGGTTCACGACTACAGGTAATGTTTCTAACCGAATGCGAGGTGTGCACCCGACTGAAGCGGTGGGTATTGATGAGCTGAAACAACTGAAAGAGGAACTGGAGTCGCAATCGATGACTCAAAAAAGTGGGATGAGTTCTACAATTCAGAGGACTCAAAGTGAGGGAATGGAGCTGTCGCAAGAAGACTTGCAGTTTTTGAATCAGAGTGCAGCCGAGTTTGACGACGATTTTTGAGATTTGACTAGGCGTGGAAAATATGCCTGTATAGACTATACGAAATAACTTCCATTTTTATTTGCAATTTGAAACTGGATTAGTAGAGTTCGTTTGTTCAAGTGATGATATTTTTATTCTTTTGCTAATTTGTGTGTTTTTGGTTTGATGCTTTTGAATCGTAATTTGATCTTTGTTAGTATCTCAATTTTGTTCAGCCAATTTTACTGTCATTTCTAGAAAAAAAGTATTTCAAGATGACTGAAGATAATAACACTAATCAAGGTTTTGGTGATTTTGAAGAATTGAAGGAAGAGACGTTAATGATAAGAACTTCGATTATCGATAGACCCAAGAAATCAAAAGCTGAACTGATTGAAATAATCGAGCAGTTCGTTCTACAATCTATGGAAGCTCTGGCAAACTGTTCTGAAATTGTGTTCGAATATCCGTCACCCGAATGTTGGGAAAATTTTGTGTTTGACCCTGAAGTTGGAATTGTTAGTCGACACGCAGATAAATTCAACAAACTAAAATTAGTTCAAGTTTCAACAGAAAATGAAACTTCCTTGTCAACAGTGGACCATTTGATGCACACTTTGTCTGTTATTTATGATTTGTTGGGTAAGTAAATAATTGAACTTCGGTCCTTAAAAAGCCCAAAAGTTGAATTGACCTGCAGGTAAAGATTTATTTGCCTATTGTCTCTATGAGTCTGTATGATGTGTGGTACTTCCAAAAAAAAGATAAAAATGTATAAATAAAGTGGTTCCTGCGATTCGCAGAGCATCTATGAAAGGCTTGTAATTTGCTCACATTACAGACAGTTATTTTGTAGAGCGAAGCTCGTGTTTTCAGATATAAGCCGATTTGTCGCGCCAATTCTTGCTTCACGCCAAAATCTGCCAGGCTGTAATAGTAGCTAACTCGAAGACTTACTAGACCTGAAACTCGAATTCAAGTGAGAGCTCATCTCGCACTAACATCGCGATCTGACGCTGTCTAAGAGAACGTAATCTCAAGATGCTAAGTGTATGACCACTTACTACAATTAAACTGCCATACAACTAAATTAACTTATACAATTAAATTGCTGCTCAAGAATGAAACTAATTTAATAACAAACTCGGTAATTTATTGAAATATTTGAAACTACCGCATGAAATATCCCAAACCAACTGAACCACAAGCACATACTTTTTTAAAAACCAGGCAGCTGTTTTTGATTAATCAGTATTCCAGTAAACAAAGTTTTGAAACCAACTTTATTGAAATTACAAAAAGTCTAAACAGCTTTGAATTTATTTGAGTTATGGTATCAGTAATAACAAAGCTACTAAATAAGGATTTTTCAACTTGTGATCCAACTAGGTGCTGTCGTGCATTTCGAAATGTATGGGTAAAAGTCTAAACCTTGCGGAGAAAGCGTCAAAAACATGAAAGATTTTCGTTTATTTGCTCGAAAAAAGACAGAAGTTTTTTGACCCGTGACCCCCCACTGACAGACAGATCAGAAGTAGCTCGCAAATAATTACTGCGTACCAAATTAGGTATGCGTTTTGTTTTATTTCGCTTGTGGTTAGGTTAGTATACTTAACTGACTGTTCTTGAAGTAACTCCACACCTATCTCCGTTAATTATAAGTTTTTTTACCTTAAACATGAGAAATTTTTATTTTATCAGAAAAGCATTAAAATAACCAAACGGGTCAAAATAAGATGTTGAATATTAAAGAAAATATCAAGTACTTTGGCGCATGCGTGGGTTAAGCGACAAAATGATCCGGTTTGAAAACTTTTCCAATTTCAAATTGCAGAGCCTTCTCGTCCTAATTTTTGCGTCAGTAGGCAACAAATGTGTGTATTTTTGTTTTTAACATTGCTCGTGGGGGATTTAAAAATTGATTGACCAAAAACTGCTTTAGAAACATTAAAAGGTAGTCGGAGTAGATAGAGAGGTAGAATAGTACAAGCAGTCATGCTATTAAAGTTAAAGTCAAAGTCACCATGTTTAAGCAGCAATGTTTAGTTGCTAAGGAGACCGATATTCTTGTGATAAATTTTTGAAAATGCTCAGCATTTCATTTTGGTAGTAATATACTAGTCTCATAATAGCCGGTATAATAGTCTCATGATATATTCTTATTGAAAGCTTCCGAATTTGAAAAACATAATTTAAAAAATTACCAAAAAATTGGTTTTCAAGAGTGATAAACGCAGTGAAGACTCTTATAAAGGTCTTGCTATTTTTTTCATTTTTTTTCCGTAAAAGTCTTAAAATTCTCTAATAACTACAGATATGCATTCATACACATTGATGTATTTATGAATGCACATAAGTATATATGCACATTCTGAGTTCAATTGAAAATCATCTGCTGAAAGTGACGTAAATAGCACTCTCCAAATACGATCGCGCAAATGGCGCGAAAAAACGTGAATGATTTCTGGTTTCAAAAGTGGAATTTAGTTTTTAGATTTCCAGCGGAATAAAAACTTCTTTACCTGTTGATCCATTTTTCTGAAATTGGATAATGTTATCAAAAAAACGCCAATCTTAAATCGTTCTAGAAATTCAAAGAGCTTAAAGGGCATCTATTTTTTTCTTTATGGAAAATATCTCGATTTCAAAGAAAAAAATAGATGCCCTTTAAGCTCTTTGAATTTCTAGAACGATTTATGATTGGCGTTTTTTTGGTAACATTAACCCAATTTCAGAACATGTGTACTTGCGTTCATTACTCTTGTCCAATCTTCGATTGGCTATGTTTGTTTTTCTACGCGTCCAACCCAAATAGGAACTGAAATTATTGTTTTTTGTGTTTAAAAGCCTCTAATTTTGCAATCACGTCGAGTTTTTTTTTGATTTTTATTAGTCATTTCATATTAATTTTTTGTCTTTACACAAGCATAGCATTTTTTCCAACCTAAGTCGCAAATAATGTTGCGTTGCAATTGTTGCGACAAAATGTGTTCATTTTGAAAGTGCTCATTTCGATCCATCTATTAAGTACAGTCAGAATAAGAGGGTTCGAAGCTGGGCAGGGGCGGATGTTTTAAATGAATTTTTTCGTATACTAGTTAAAATGCGTCCAATCTAAAAATTGAGGCATGTTAATTGGTAATATTTTTATTCAAATTGACTGGTATTGCTATTGCGTCATAATTGGCTTCCGTTACTTAGCAATTATGTAGACTCATAATTGGCATGCGTCACATAGGAAATTTTTTAGACTTCAAGCTTTACTCATTCAGCTGTTCCTAGAAGCGCTATCGATCATATTTGCTTGTGTATGCAAAGTGCAACTTCGCCTCTGTGTCAAAATTTTTCTAAGGATTTTATTCCCACTGATTTGTTCATCATTTTGACAGATTGCTTACAATGAGAAGACCTATCAGATATTTTATCCATTAGTATTTGTCGTGAATTTGTTATTACTGTAGGCTGATTGTTTTATAGACAAAGCCGTCCAATTTTTTGCTTTTTTTTACAAAGTTTTCAACTATTCGAACACTAATTTAAAGATTTAAGTGAAAAGCTTTTTTGTTCTTTAGACAAATATTCCTTAAAAAATTGTGTTTAAAATTTTTTGTATTAAAATTTCTTCTAAAGTAATCTGAAAACAAGTTTGGTTGGATGAAAAACATTCTGGTAAATTCGTTCCGGCAAAACTAGACTAAAATGCGAATACCCAGTTGCAAGATTTATAAATAATTATACCTAATCCGGTATTGTGCCGGATGATCAATCTATTTAAGTAACCACGTAAAAACATTATTTTTACGGAGTAGTCATAGCCTGGTCAGAAGTTGGTCAAAAGGATTTTTAATGATTACTTAGTTTTGAACGTTAGAAAAACTTTTGACACGGATAATAAACATGTTAGGAACATTAGCATCGACCCCGGACAAAGAAAACTTAACACATTTTCAAACAACACTGCAAGTTTGGTTATTTTTTTTTTAATGAATCGGTCTTCACAAACGTTACCCTATAATCTTTTGAAATCCTTGAAGTAAATCCTTACACGAGTTACCTATGATCCTTAAAAAACGACACCATTTGAATGACGCGATCAAGCTTGAAACTTTTAAACCAATCAATATTGAGATTTTAGCTTCTTGGCTCCGTAGACTTGAAGTGTGGACATGATTCAAAACAAACTTCAAGTTCTGGATTTTTTCCCTTACTGGTTAAAAAAATTGAATCGAAATATCATACGTTATCTTGCAGGTACTTTTATTAATGACATATGTTTTTTTCTATTATATTTCACAGCCTTCATCTACCTGGTGTTTGTGTTAGAAAAGTATAGCTGTTTGTGTTAGAAAAGTATAGCTTCTGAATACCTTATCGATTAGATATTTTTTCCTTCATTTGCTACCTTTGACTTATTTGACTTTGTACTGTTTTTATATTTTTCAGTTAAAACATTTCTTAGCAGCAGAAGAGTTGATATTGGTTTTTGTTTCAAATTATTGGATCAGATTGGTATCTATCTGAAATTAAAGCTAGCCAGTCCCTAGAAGCAATAACTTCATTTGATCTTATTTTAACTTAGATAAAACTAAGATGAACTTAGCTTTGCGGTAAGGAGTTCACATTGTGACCGTCAGATCGTGTAATCGATGCCTTGCTATGGCAATGATAGTATATGAGAACGAGTTCTCGCTTGACCTCTAGCTTCAGGTCTTTCACAACTTGACCGACTGCAGCTGCAATAGCGGTACCACGTGAAAGTTGTAGACGCGTGAAAATTCTTAAAAAACGATATTGAGTGGCAAAAGCTGTGCATTACACAGCAAAATAACTAATTCTGGCATGTGGGGACAAAAGAGAAACTGACTATGTTTTGACAGGCTGGATAGCCTTTCATAGATCCTCTGCGAATTGCAAAACGTCTTCTTACTTCGAGTTAAGACTATTAATTAGTTATTGTTTTAGAAACTTGCTTACAACATTTTTCGAATTTTTACTCTGGTCGTATTTGCTAATTTTTTCATAGTTTTTTGCTATTTTGAGAAAAATTTTTGGGCTTTTAGAAAAATCTTGTAGGTTTTTACGGTAGAGATGAGTTTAGCATGTCATAGAAACACTAGCTAGTGTAGTTTTTTGGTGTTAGTGCGCTGAACGCATGTGCTTAAGATTGTTTAGCTGAATTGTTCGTCTTCAGTTTCTACGGTTTGCACAACTGTTTGCTCATATTTTTTTCCTCGTCTATAGTTTTTTACCATAGTCGAATTAACTTTTTTGATAATTTGCGTCAAAGTTTTCAGTGAGGTGGAAGGATGGATAAACTTCAGGAACTATCTGGCTTCAAGAGCTAACCGACAATATATTTTATTACTTTTTTTTAGCAGAAAGACCAAAATATTTTCTGCGATATATATTTTCTCCTGATAATTGGATCTTGAAGTTTTGTTTGTATACTTCACACGTGCACAAAGCATCTGTTCTCAAGCTTCCAATTTTCAACCCGATTTTGGGTGTAAATTCTATACAACTAATGTTATTTCAGGGTAGAAAGAGATTTTTTTCAGTTTTTACCCTCTGTGATTGATGCTGTTTTAACGTTACTTGTGCTAAATGAGTTTACTGTTTACTTGGACACTAAAAAGACAAGAATATATATCGTTCGTAATTGTCAAAAACTAATAAATTTCATTTTCAGCTATTGACATCAATCTGATGAGCAAAGTTTCCACGCCTCCGATTCTCGGTATTGAGAAAAAATAATCGGAGTGCTTTATTAGAGTCTGAAATACGGCTAATAGCGTTGCATTAAGATATGCAATCTCCCACGAAGTGTCTCTGTAATAGCTGATTTTTTACGAAAAAAATACCCGACTGCTCTTTTTTTCTTACCCGGGCTGAGGTCTTGACTCATGATTCGACCGAAACGGTCAAAAGACGTCCGTTTTTGACTTTTTCTGTCGAACGATTCCAATTTCAACTTTTTGAGTCGAACGATGTCCGTTTTCGACTTTGTTCGACTATCCCGGACATTGTTCGACTTTGTTCGACTTTACCGGGCATTGTTCGACTTTATCGGAAAATTTTCGCTTTTACCCGGAATTAGCTTTGCTTGTTCGGCGTCAAGGATCCAATTGAATTTAACATATGGTATTTATTGTAGCACTTGATAAGTTTAATGGTCGAGGTCGCTGACTTATGTTGCGACCATTGCGACTCAAAATGTGTATATTGCGACCATTGAGACTCAAATTGGGTATATTGCGACCATTGCGACTCAAAATGGATATCTTGCGACTTAGCGCGACCGAAGAAACTTTATTCGACTTTGTGCAACCCAAACAAGATATGTTGCTACTTTGCGCGACCCAAATAAGGTATGTTGCGACCATTGCGACTCAAAATGGGTATGCTGCGACTTTGTGCGACCCAAACGTTTGCGCGACCCAAAACAGATATGTTGCGACTTCCCGGGTCGAAGTTTGCAATTTACCTTTCGACCGAATCGACCAAAAAATGGTATGTTTTGAACGTCTCGACCCAGGCCCGATATGTTTCGACCGACTCGACGCAAGCTGTCTATGTTTCGACTACACTAAAAAAATGTTAAGGTAAAATTACCCTAAATGAGTTGAGGTTAAAAAAAATAAGGTAAAATTTACCTCAACATTACCTTAACTTTGCCTTGAAAAAATTTTAAGGTAAAATTCACCCTAACTGAATTATGGTAATTTACCGTAACTTAATATTATGTTTAACTGAAAAATTTAGGATTGATTTTGACTAAACAGGAATAAGGGAATTTAAAATAAACATTGGATCTAGTAATAAGTATACTACAGATTCCGAATAAGTATACTACATATTCGGAATATTAACTATTTCGAATCTGACTGTTTTATACTTTTAGTAAGCGACGCCTTCAGCACCAAGCGTGATTTGTACTACCAGAATGTGAACACATACGACCAGAAGCAGAGGAACCTGGACAAGAGTGTGGACACCATCTGTTCAATTCTGCAGGTGGACAGACTCGACCTACACGTCATGTCCTCAGCCAAAGGTAAAAAATAATAACCCACTATACAAAAATTTTAGTATGGGTTGAGTTGCTGCACCAGGAAAAGTCAATTGTTATTTATCATCAAAAAATTTGATTATGAATGTGAAATTTTTTGCTGGCAATGGCACTGATCAATGGCTTGGAACTTTTGACTGACAAAAGATACTTGAAAGACTTGTCAGTGTTGTCCGTCAATCTTAAAAGCTAGAAGAGCGATAGTGAAAGGTCGTTGTTTCGAGCGACAGCATGATTTGTGCTCGTTTCCTGAGGAAGAGGAAATTACCCAACTCAGAAAAACAAGCAAAACATCCATTCCTTGCTAAAAAAAATTGATCAAAATAAAAGGGTTAATAGACGACTAGACGCTTTTACTTAAACTAGTACTAATTTAGGACTTATTATGATGCGGCTTCTCTACTTAAATAACTAGTAGACTTTTAAACTAAGACTAGATTGAAAGACGTCGGTTAAACTAAATAAGCTGGATAAAAGATAGGTTCAGTCAAGAAGCTCAATTGGGAATTGATTGCATAAAACATAAAACTGACTAAAAATCAGCTGTGCCAAAAGCCGATAAGCTTCTGGCACGTTTTTATCTCATTCAAAATTAGAACGTAAACATCATAGAGGTTAAAAGATCACTTTTGAAACTCCCCTCGAACATTTGCTGTAAAGCGACAGCATAGTACAAGAAATGTAACACTTACTTTTCACCCGAGGATGGCGCCTGGAGGGCAGGATAACAAAATGACAAAGAAAAGGCAAAGAAAAGGCGCCCGATAGGCAAAATTAGCAGTAAAAAAATTAGGTTCCACCAAAATGCGGTACCAGTCTTAAGAGTTTTGGTGAACTAACTAAAATTGATTGAAGTAGCTATAAGCGCCAAACACGGCGCTCAAACTTTGTGACAAGAAAATCAAAGCTAAAAATATCAGGGGTCGAGTGTCTCAGTGGAGAGAAAATTGGGTTGGTTAGATCCACGACGGTTACTGGCGGGTTTTCTATCTCTATGCTAACCGCTTCAAGTGATGAGGTGGGGAGAGGTGTCTTTAGACACGTCTAGAAGTGTTCGCCCGGTGTGTCATCTGAAACTTCTAAAGCTCGTGAACACCCATTCTCCGAGTAGAGATGGAGGCTGTCTGGATCTAATAGGCCTAGTATTATGTTTAACGGCCTAGTATTATGCCTAGTATTATGTTAGGCTTAGTATTATGTTAGGCGTAGTATTATGTTAGGCTTAGGTCTAGTATTATGTTTAGTGAGGGTCCGACAGTTTTCTTGGAAGCGGCGACTTCATGGGCGAGGATGCTTACCTTTCGGCCATTCCGGTGGGTTTTGTCCTTGAGGAGCCCTGGGTCGGAATGAGGTCTATTCTCTGAATCTCGGGGTCCGTACTAACTATGCTCGTAAGTGCCATCGTATTCGGGTTTAATATCGGGATTTGCGGTTGAGTCTTCTCATCTTCATTCCAATGTTCTAATTGTCTTTTGTCCGTTTCCTCTTGACTATCAAGTTTAATGATTGGTTGTATTTTGTTTAGTCGGAGCTGAAGGTGGTCGGTTTCAGTTGGGCTAAATCTTGTGATAGGGCTTGATCGTTTACTGTCTCTAACTATTGTTCCTGTGAAACTTCATTTTTATTATTCGCTGGACATTGGGCTGTCCGATCTTGTATGTATTCGAGATTGGTTCTTTATAGGGGCTTAAGTTCTTTTAGCAGGATGAGGTTGCTAGCGTCGTCATCAGATATGGTTTCCACCGACGTATTTAAGGGTGTTATTTCCATTTTGTCTGACGTTTGTCATTGACTAGGTTGGCCCGACGGGAACTGTTAAACGTCGTTCTCTGTGCCAATAGGAAATCTGGGTCGCTTCCTCTCTTCTTCCTCCTCTCGTAAGAGGGTTTCTTGCGAGCCGTTCATGGCTGAATTACGTCTCGCATTATCTTGTTCTTCAAATTTGGCCTGCAGGTATTTTTTGTTAATGGTTGCTTTGAACTTTTGAATGCAACATTTTTAGGTGCCTGATCACCCTCCTAAGTCCTTTTGTGGCGTAGAACTTTATCATTTGGTTCTTCTTTCTGGGACTCACCTTCCTCGGTTCTGTAGGTCTTTCCACGGCCAAATCAGATTTGCAAATTATTTCACCTTTCTTAAGATTTTTTGTATGGTCCGATTCCCTCACTATTTCTTCTTTAAGCTCCTTTTAGTATGGTTTTTTTTTTAATTTGAATTTTTCTATTGAAAAGGGTCTTATCCGATGAGATACCCAGTACGAGATTGGCTACTCCTTGGGATTTTCGCTTGTCTGTGCGTGAGAAGACTTTCACTGGGGAGCCTTAGTTCGTTGCGACATATCTGGTGGCATATTGGCTATATCATCCGACGAGAAGGAGTCGTCGTCCAGGTGCCCATCCTCTATATCGTCTGCCGCAGCCCAGTCATATCATCTGTCCCGGCACATGAATTTTCTTTCGTTATCTATGCATAATAGCGTTATATTCCAATCCAAATTTTTTGAAGATGGAAGTTTTACGAGATTGTGCCAAATAGTATTTGATGGTCTACCAAAATGTGCTTCAAAAGGAGTTCAGTTTAGTATTTGTTGAGATACAGTCCTTGAGCGTTTTATGATTTTCAGAAGAACTATTTTTGTGCCATGACCATAAGTCGATCCTTAATTGTTCTAATAAATCGTTCAACTAGACATGTAGATCTATGGTCGCCCACTGGGTTAAATATAACTTCATGCTTTGATCTTGGCAAAACTCTCGAACTTCTTTAGAAATAAATACCGACCCTTGCTCCGTTTCAATAGTTCTAGGTATTCCATGAAGGGCTATGTATTTTCTAAGAAACTAAATGACGGATTTTGCAGATGTCCTAGATGTTATTTGAGCTGAGTGAAATTTTGATAATCGGTCTACGCAAATGAGAATATTTTTCTTTGTTCCCCAAGTTAAAGTTAGCAGGTCGGCAAAATCTAGCTCCATTTCTTGCTTTTGTTGTACGGTCGATGGGAGCTTTCCGAAGTCCCCATTTTTTGTTAGAGGTTTCAATTTTTAACCTGCTTTAACACACTCGATACGTTTTTCTCAGAAAAATTTTTGACTACAGGCGTAGAGGGTTGCCAAGTTCTTCATTGCAAAATGGCCAGGGTGTGCTTCATGGAGTCTATGTATGATAGTGGTCCTTAATCATGCCGGTATCACGACTCTTCCGTCGAAGAAGAGGCACCACTCCCCCGTTCACCACTCATAATATGAGCTTTACAAAAATTTTCCATCTGTGAATCGTCTTTTTTCCAGTCTTCTTCAATAGCTTTTATATATTTTTTTTCAAAACAAGGTTTTGTTTAGTGAGTAACGCCTTGAAATTTAATTTAAAAACTTCAGACAACGAGAATGGAAATAGTTTATGTTCAATGGTTTTTTTGTTCGTTGTTATATATCTGGTCTGTAGAGGGGTTTCCTAAGGGGAGCTATTACTGTGTAAAGTAAGCGGGGCTTTATTTACCGTTTAGTTTTCAATGTATTCGATTGAATCTATTTGGTCGGACTTTTCTCTAAGAGTTTTGTAGTTATTCGAAAAATCAACTGTTTGACAGAATGGAATGCAGTCTTATGTACGCGAGTGATCTTTTGACTCACTGAAAGGTAAGAAAGCGCAAATAAAGTTTGCAAAGTTTCTGCAGCTTTCTCAATTCGTTTCTTACGTTCAGATTTTTGTCTTGTCAGCTTGTTAACAGATTGACCAATCACGTTGCAGTTATTTGAGTCATGAGATACTGTTTGATAAAAGAATTTGTCCCTTATTTGAGAACGGGAATATCTAGGCAGCAAGTTTTCAAAGCCTAGAAGGAGGCTAATATGATTTACAGAGACCATAACCAATTTTTTGTAGTCAGAAAAAACTGGTACGGGATCTCCCGATGGGAAATGTTCGACCGTGAAATTGTATGGTAAAAGTTTATCTGCCCAACTGGTGAGACGAGACTGAGTTGTTTTTGTATAACTATTGTCTTTTAGCGCTACAATTAGGGTGTTTTGGTCGGTAAGAATAAGGTTTGCATGCTGAATTGGTTGCTGTCTCAAGTAGTAGTTTTTAAAATGATCTAGTGCTCAAACTAAACTCAACAGTTCGAGTTCGTTGGTGCTTTTTTACTTCGGGTTTTTTAAGGAATCTGCTCGCGAAAAGCTACTGTTTTCGAAATTATCCCTTGGTCCTGCTCGAGGGATGCGTCCATTCCTAAGTGTGATGCATCGCATTTTACCCTTATTTTAAGTTTGACATCGTAATGGTGATTTGTCATTGTATTACAAGCTTCCTTCTTACTTTTCTCGAACGCAACGAGATGTACATCCGACCAATTGAACTTTTTTTTTCTGAATTAACTCACTAAAAGGTGTAGATGAGGATGCTAAGTTTGGGATGAATTTGTTAAATTGATTGAGCCCAATAACGATTTTATATTCTTGATACTTTTTGGTACTCTTAAATTCCAGATTGCCCATTGATACCATTAATGTCTTCTTCAGTTCGAGTCCTTCGTGGGAAAAAGCTGTTATAATTCCCCCTTCGATTCTGTCCTTAATAGCGTTCACTTGGTTATCATTGTCTATTATTAAGACTGAAAAGTCTTTTAAATCTACTTTAAATTCGGGGTTGTCCTGCGGGCTAGTTCGGTGGATTTCTTGTTCGGAAAGTTTTGGATTTTGCTCTGGCTGCACTTCTGCAATGTTTAGCGAGAAGAGCTTTACGACCGCAGCTGTAACAACTTCTCTCTCTTGCTGGACAAGATGTCGCTTTTTGTGTTCTTGGCCACAATTTCTACATTTATTACGTTCTGTTATATTTAAATTTATTACGTTCTGATAAAAATTGCAAATTTCAGTTAACAAAACATGAAAAAAAGCGAATCTACATATATTCTCTGGGGTCAGATTTTCAATACACTTTTTTCTGCTTTTCCACATTCCTCATAATGGTAAGAAAATTTCTCTGACTAGTTCAGTCTCTAGATCGTCTATTTTAAAATTTTTGACAGCTTTTTTGCCAGGAATGAAATTTTCTGACTCATGATCTTTCTATGTTCGACCGAAGAATTTGTGTTTTTCATAAGTCAGGTTCGTAGTTAAGGAAACGTAGTTTTTAGTAGCCCTCAGAATTCTGTAAATTTCATATCAAGTTTTCTTTTTCCAGAGTTTTTTTTGTGCAAAGCATTTTTGTCCTTCTGTACCAAGTGCGAAGTATAATTGTGATTTTAACTTCTTATTGATGCCGCCAATTTGTAGGCCGTTATATTTTGTGTTGTCTTATTCTTTCCTCCATCGCACTTCTTCGTTGTGGGCTTGTTATGCTTAAGGGTTTCGTTCCTCTTTTTGCGCCCGACGGGTTTGGTCGTCGGAAGGCTCCGATGTTTCTGGGATAGGGTAAGTTATTTCGAGTCTCGATGGTGGATTAATCACATCTTCGATATCCACAGAATCTTTAGCAATGATTGTCAACTGAAACTTTTTAGCCAATTTTTCCCAATCCTAATGGTTTTCGCTTGATGCGTTGTTCCAAAAGAACTCTAGACCTCGTAGGTTAGACTCGTTCCACTGCGCCATGTTAAAAAGTTAATTCGATCCAAATAAAAGGGGAGATAAAGATGACGATACCGGTGTGTTTAAACTAGAACTAGTTTAAAACTTATTAAGACGAGGGTTCTCTACTAAAATAACTAGTAGACTGTGAAACTAAGACTAGGTTAAGACGTCGGTTAAGCTAACTAAGCTAGCTAAAAGATGAATTCAGTTAAGAAGTTCAATTGAGAATTGGTTGCATAAAAGATAACACTGACTAGAGATCAATTGTGCCAAAAGCCGATGTTCTTTTGGCAGGTTTTTATCTAATTCGAAAATAGAACGCAAACATCATAGAGGTTAAAAGGTCGCCTTTGACATTCTTAACCAGGGACTCTGCTGCATATCTCCTTAAAGAGTTGAACAGCTCGTATCTTGGGCCGCTACCTATTGATTATAATTTCCAGGGCTACTCTCTGGCTCTCTCACTATCACCCTCAAAAACTGTCCCGACAACCCTATCGACTGTTCAATCAGTCCCCAATTAGTTCCAAACCTTATTGAGGACATCATACAGCTCGAATCGGAAGCCCAATTCATACTCGTGATTGAGAAGGACGCCACATTCCAAAGTTTAATTCAGAATAAGATATTCAGCTGGTTGCCACCTTTTATACTGTTCACCGCCAAGGGCTATCCAGATGTAGCCAGTCGCGCTTTTCTCAGGTCAGTCATTCAAATGTTATCCTAAAAAATTTGCTTTTCAAATTTAAGTTTTGCGAACCAAATGCTACAAGCTGAATTTCGCATACAAAAAATGGCAATGCAGATTTATTTTTTTTTCGGTAAAACTTAAAAAGTCGGAACAATAAGTAGGACTTTTATGTTTAAAATTAATCAAATTTTTGTAATTGAAAGCAACTGCTGGTATTGATGGCCATCATGAAATTAGTAACGGCTGGTATTGATGTCTGCCATGAGTTGTTTTCTAAAATAAACCAGGATTTTTGACCACAGTTCTTTACACGGATATACCAACTTTTAGGACGCCTAAGAACATTTTTTTGTTTCTGCAACTGAGGACAACCTGAATGGCTAAATTCAGCATGGATAAATGTTAACCTCAATTACAATTGCTTCGACATTTGCAATGAGATTTTATTAAATCGATTCGTTTTTCTGTTATAGATAGTTTAGTTACATGTATGATGGGGGTGTAGCGATTAACATGTGTGCCTATTAGCATGCAATAATTGTTTTCATTGGGTGTGCATTCAGATGAAAAACAAAGTTGCCTAAATTTTCAAATAGTTTCGGAAACCACTTGATTTGTTAAAAAATTAATAATTTAAATTTCGCCTGATTAAAAATTCGGCTCAGTGCACTCTGATAAAAATTGCAAATTTCAGTTAACAAAACATGAAAAAAAGCGAATCTTCAAAGTGCATTCTTTTACATGGGCATGCTAATCGACACACATGCTAATAGGCCGGTCCCTAAGTACGATAGCTGGATCCCTAGAAAAGCGAGCTTGAAAGATGGATACCGTGATTTTTCGAAATGATTTTGAAAAACGCAAAAATGCGCATGCAAAAACTGTTTCCGACAATTTTCAAGTGACCTAATGATTCCTTCAGACACCCATCAATGTTTTAAAGACCCAACTATCCATCTTTTAACAGAATGTATTTTCAGATACTTGGTGTCAAAACTCCATATCCCCGTGTTTGTCTTGTGCGACGCAGATGTGCACGGGGTTGACATCATGCTCCAGTACAAGTACGGGTCCCGCACCACAGCCGTCAACAACCCCCACCTCACACTGCCTTGTCTCCACTGGCTAGGGGTGTTCCCCTCAGAAATTGAGGAGTTGAATATCAAAGAGGAGTTCCTTATTGAAATGACAGAAACTGACACTGTGAGAGTACGTTCGTTTAGATCTAGTTCCATCCCCCTCGTACGTAAAATGACTGCCGTTAATTAAGAGATCCGATCGTCCATTGGGAATCAATACGAAGATTTACTTAACAATCTCTCTTTTCCTTACAAGATAGGGGGGATTGTTAATTAGATTAACAATCTCCCCCTGCTGTCTTGCAAGGCAAAAAGAGATTGTTAAGTAAATACTAGAATTGATTCCCAATGGACTCGGTTCTTTCAATTAACGGCAATTAACTTAAGTTAGTTCAATTAGATTAAGTCAGTCGAGTTAAGTTAGCAGAATACTGCAAAATTAAAATTCTCAATAGAAAGCACTAGTACAACTTTACCGTTTTTTTATAGGGATGGGGATTCTTTAGCTAAAACGATAGGTGGGAGATTGTTAAGTATATCCCAATTCTTAAATAAGAACTAAAAAATAAAGAACTTATGAAACATGAAAAGGGTTTTTTGCACAAAACGGCCCAAAATCAAAATCTTTATATCTTTTTATATCTTTTATATCTAATATTAGCTAATCAAATTCAAGCAACATGGTCAGCCATGTCAGTCAACTGTTCCAGCAGAAAAAATATTAGCCGAAGTAATTGAGAATTTGAATCTTAGTCAATTAATAAAACTTATTTCTCGTTTTTTGTTGTGAAATTATACCCAAATAAAAAAATCAGTAAAATGGTTTCAACGGGAAAAAATTTCTATCGTTTTGATCATTTCGGCCATTATTTTATCTGCTTTAAATTTAAAATGAAATGCCGGACCATGTTGTTTGCATTTGGAAGGCTAATGAACCAATCAGATTCAACCATATATTGAATTAAGATCAAGATGTAGAAATACTTATATTGGGCCGTTTTGTGCATGAAAAACCTGCCATTGCAACGAATCATCTTACGTCGCTTTGGAACTTTGTAAAATTCTTGCGAAATTCTAGCGCGGAAAAGCTTTAACGCTGCAGCATGAAAAAAATCCAGCCCGAGTGGATTCGAACCTCTGTCGCTTCCAATTTACTTGAAACGACAAATTTTATCGCCTTTTTGGCCTATAGCGTCTCAGCAAATAACTAAATTGGACGAGGTTGAAGGTTGGGTGGACATGGCGTAGAGTTTAATGACAATAGCAGAATTGCGCTAGCAGTACTGGTTTGTTTGGTAACCTATGTCGGTTGATGAAATACTTTTCAAATTGTAGAAGCGAAGTAACCGCTGTGCTAAGCCTGCTTGCAATTTAACAATCTCAGTCGCTTTTATACTACATTTTGTTCAGTTTAAAACACCATTCAGTTCTTCGTTCATTGAATATTCCCACTGAATGGTATATCGTATTACGTATTGTACTAACATGTCGGCTCAAGAAATTAACAGTAACAAAGCTAGCTTCTTTTCAGTCAGCTGAAATAGTATTGTCATAGAAATCTGTTTTTAACAGTTTTTTCGGCAAGGATAAATTTAGAGTCTTCACTACTACGGTTTTTGGTCGTTTTATGTCCATTGAAAATTCTTATATTGTAGGCGATTTTGAGCGGGATAGCCCGAAGTTTGCGACGGAAATTAATCCATGAGAAGGCCAGAATATTCTGAAGTTTTTTCCCAAAAAGTCCACACCTGATTTTGACTTTTCCCTTTTGCGCTCAAAAATGAAAACGAGCGGATAGGTTACGGTAACTCCATATTTCTTTTTCATCGTTTCCCCATCAATCTGTTCCCTTTTCCGATCAATGAGTGTCAAGGCAGCCATATTTCCAAGCTGACGTTACGAGGTCTCCTGGATTACTCAAAAAAGCTTGTTTTGAAAATTTGTCCAAGCTTTTGAACAGCTATGAACAAAACCTTCAGGAAAACTTAAGAGTCAATTAACAAAATTAAGACAATTATTGAGGCCGAGTTTTTGTTCCGACTATTGTAACGAAAAAAAAGAAATATTTTGCTCGGACTGTTTTTTTCTTCAGACAAATATCGACTTTTATCGAGCCATTTTTCTCCTGAGCATTAAGTTTATAGATAACTCACCTGTGATAGTTTTTCGTAAAGTTATTGGGGTTCAAATATTGCCATTTTGGCCAATTTGGGATAATTAACGCGCAAACTTTATCAGCTACGGCCAATAAACAAGTTTTAAAAAAACCGAAACTAAATTGAATTTAGTTCAAGTTTTAGATTCCAAGGTTGAAGAGTTTTCTTCGTTTTATGATGAGTTTTTTGTTAAAACTAACCCAAATAGCTTAAGATCGAATGACTACATTATGAACGTACATATGGTTAGCCGCGTTAACATCTTCCGCCCCCAAAGGAGCGAGGTCGTGTGCGAGTTTCACGATTGGTTGGGCGTACTCGCCGATTGCCGATATATTTACGGCGGACCGCGCTAAGCCGTCGTTACCGTAGCTCAACGACTTGCCTCGCGATAAAGGGTAAAAACCTCTTTTCATTTGCAATTCTGGAGAAAAAAAACACTTGCTCGTTTGTTTGGTACGTACTCGTGGAGCCAAAGAGTCCAGATGGTATTTGCATAGGATTGCGCCCCGGTGTAGCGCTTTTGATGATCGAAATTTTGCTTGAAATCTAGTTGCGGAAAGGAGCCAATGATTCTTTGTTAACGCTTTGAGATCGTTCGGATCGGAAAATACGGATGTGAGTGGACGGTTATTTAGAGATGGTTGCTCAAATAAACAAAACATGGTTATGTGGTCTCCTCAGTAAATTTCTGTGATCCGAGAATGTCATAAAAAAACTCTTTTGGTGCTCCGGGCGAGTCTTTCCCGCACACATTCATGATGAAAATCACTGAGTGGATTGAATTTTGAGGTATGGCCTTTATGAGTGAGCATAACAGCTGCTAGGCAAATCCAACTCTCGATTCACGAAATCAGCACTTTGATCGAGCTAACGAAACTCGTACCATTGTCAGACCAGATGATGGAGGGCGTTCCTCGTCGAGCAAGGAAGCACTCTTTGTCCATTACACAGGATTTTGTTTCGGTCGACGCGACAACCTCCAGATGATTGGCACGTGTCGTCATACACGTGAAAAAGAACCCCCTGTTTCGCTGAGCTTCGTCGAATCTTTACGTGGAACGGACCGATATAATCTACTCTGCTGTTAGCGAGTGGGGGTTTTCGGTAACACAGTCGCTAGTACGGAAGTTCAGCCATCTTAGGCATTTTTACTTTTGCCTTTTGTTTTCTGCAAAAAACGCAAGGGTGTTCTATTGAACGGAGAGCAAGACGGAATCCTAACCCAACATACTCTAGCTGTATAACAGCACGCAGATAATCAACGCTTTGACGATGATTCCTTTGGTCAATGATTGTTAGTAGCACAATTACAAGTAGATATCGGCTAGCTAATATGATGGACTGTTTAACGTTAATTTCAACGCCAGCGAGACAGCAAATACGACCAGTGAACAGACTACGCGTTTGAGGCCAATATATGGCCAAAAAATCTGTTCGACTAAACTTCTTAATGGTTTTTTCATTGTGAAGTGCGTCGACTTCGACGGGGAACGACTCTGGCGGATGCAGAAACAATAGCTTTTGCTTAGCTAGTTGATCGGTTATCGAGCGAGTGCTGCAATCTTGGCGGTGATGAGGTGATAAACTCAGCATAAAAACAGCATTTTTTTGGAGTTCCGGAAAAGAAAAAAGTATTCCAGACAAAAACTGTATCGTTGTTTTCAGATGTGCAAGTGAAAAGTGCAGCTTGTTCATTACCTTCATCCAAAATCAAATGAAGGTTCTTCGAGTCGAATGCTGGTAAGAGCTACTGGTAAAAATCCATTTCATAGTTTTTAAACGTTGTGGAATTTTCACCATACGGGTTTCTTTCAGTGTCATAGCAGTTTTTCCGCGGTTGCTGGAATCTGAAGGATCGTCGCCGCTGGACACTAGGAACAGCTCATCAATTGTGGTGGTATCAAGAACTTCGGAACCGCGATGAGTCATAAAAACAGGCAACTTGCTGGTAGAGCTCGACCACTGCAGTAAAGTAGTGCTATCAGTCCACATGTGTGAACTTTTGATTTTGATTGCCAATGATTTCTCGATTTCAAATCCCAGACGGTTGCTTGCAGTAATGATGCTTGCAATTTACGCTTGGGTTTGAAAGAGTTTTCGTGGGCTTTACTTTATGTTTTCCGAACACAAAAGCAATCTTGGCTTCATGAGTGAAGACGGAGCGACCGCGCACGAAAATTACTGTGCAAAAGAAGTCCTAAGAACTGTCACCAAACATATTTACTTATATTTAATCAGCGAGAAAATGTTAGACGGTCAAGTATTGGTAAGCCAGTATGCCATTCAAGGAACTTTTCTTGAAGGCCGCCTGACAATGGCTCGTCCGATTACTAGCCAGTAAGACTCCAGATAGCCTTCAGTAAAAGCCGGGTACAAACGGTGTACGGTGCGACTATACTGGTTACTTCGAAAACCGACCTATTCACGTAAACACTAAAGTTTAAGGTATCTTTTTTGTTATCCCACTTTAGACCTAGTACGTGCATTGCGGTTTCGATTTTTATGTAGGTTTTTTACAGTGTCAATCTTACTGTATTCAGAATTTAGGTTTCTGTTAAATTTTGGACATTGCTAACAAACTTGATCAATCTAAAACCTCCTAGACACAACAAACTTACAATTTCTTTGCTCATTCGGATCGGCGATAGAACCTAAGAAGTCATCCATACAAAAATTATCAAATACAGCTGAAGAAACTGCTTCAAACTTGTCGTAACTGCTTCCAGCTGGAGTGGTTTGTTAGAGCGGGACATTTGCTCAAGTAGATGAGTCAAAAATTGCACAAGTGGAGCACAAGTTGTTCTGGCACCGAAGATGTGGCGACTGTTTTAAAATTGTTTACCCCACTTTAGAAGTCCTCCCGCCACAAAAAAGCAACGACTGATGGTCAGCTGGATTAACCCGTACTTGAAGGAAGATTTCTTCAATGTCAGCCGATACTGCATTATTACGTTATCTGAGCCGGAAGAGCATTTTCAATAAGATCGGCAACATATTAGGCAATACCAAAAAAGACTGGTTCAAGGAGACACCTTGAAATTTCGAAGCACTGCTTAGAACACGCCTCATTTTTCCAGTTTTTTTTGGATTACCACTGGATGGTAGGGTAAAAACTTCTCGCGGTCGGTGCGCGTGTTTACCTCATTGGGTTTAAATTATGCAAGTCGTTCTAAATAGTTTTAACGTAGATACTTTTCAGTTAAGGATCATGTTTGAACCGCTTTTCCAAAGACTTAAGCTGGGCAAATGCTGAGCAGTAGTAATTCGGCAAGCGAGGATTAGAATTTCAAGACACTGGAGTTTTCAGACCTTCTGGTCCCAATTGCATGTTTTTCGTGTGACACTTTTGAATTAGACAACAAAAAGTTTGTTTCTGTTTTAAAAGGGCCAGCGTTGCTTTGATTTTTTAAAATTTCGGTAGATTCTTTGTTGTATTAGCTTGCAAGCGCTCATGCGCCTTTGTTTTTTCTGTCAACCAGCAAAGATGGTTGTTGAAGACTCCTTTTCACTGTGTGAAGAGAACTCATGATTCTTTTGTGTTCGCTTGTAGCTTACATTGTGTTTAATTCAGCACAGCAACACCTTCCAAATCCTTGGTATAGAATAGTGACTCAAGCACATCAGCAAAGTTTGAGATGATTGAAGCGAAATTTATGATGCTGTCGATATTTTAGTGGAAAATGTCAATGGTGGAAAACATTTTAAATGTTCGAAATGAGCATTAAATTCTGTTTGATACTGGCCAAGCTTACGAGTGAGAGTATTGAAGGCATCCTTATAGATTAAACGGGAATACACAAACTCAGCGATGGCACCTTTGGGTTTCTCAATCACAAGAGTTTTCAAGTATGTCAATTTCACGACATCACTCAAACGCACAAAGTCAACGGCGCTCACAAACCGGCCGTAGTCTGAGTACCTGAGTACACTAAAACGCGGCTCTTCTTTTTTCTGTATCGTTAATGGAAAATTGGTTAATGGAAAATTCGAAATCGGATAACCAAAAGTCGGGTTGGATATGTTTCCAATTTTGACTTTGGTGGATGCTTGAGCTAGATTTAGACTCTTGCTAGTTTGCCTGGTTTAACTTAAATCCACGGGCAGCACCATAGGGTTAACGGACGTTTTCGGAACTTGCAGATTTTTTTGAAAATAATTTTGGTTTGTAACTATCGCGGATTTACACTAGAATAGATTTTTGATATTATTTATAATTTCATCAAACTGACAAGTGAAGACAGATAGTTGGAAAGATGGATTGAGCTTGGGATTAACACGGAATGGATCGAAACCATCAACACTCGGTGATGGTTTAGTTTTTTGTGTAGACTTAATTTTATCGATTTTTTGTTCTCCCAGCTTTCTGTCCTTCGATTTAGTACGAGACTCTCCTCGAGCAAGTCTACCGAGCCTGACTTCTAATTCATCTCTTCAAGAATCGAATTATCAGTTAAGGTGGCTTCGATCAATTTAGTTAATTTTTACTCGGCCAACTCTTTTACATCTTTTTTTTCTGCTGTTTTCAACAAAATTCAACCTCGTTTTGTCGCTCTATTTCTCTACGACGTAATTTTTCAGTTTTCAGCACTCGACTTGTTTGGGTAGCAATCGTTGACGCAGACAAGTACCTTGAATATTCGACATGACTTTTATATGTTATGGTCGCAGATCTTAGAGGCTTATAACTTTCAAAGTGTTTCAGGGTCTGTTTGGCGTCGAGGTACTGTGGGGTTTTAGCAAGAATTTCGGGGTCGATATGCGAGGTTTTAGTAATGAACCGATTCACAAAATTGGGACAGTACGGTCGAGTTGAGTGAACTGTTATAAGTTTCAGACAACCTCTAGGTGTAAAAGCTGAGGTAAGAAATTGGCTCGAACAACTCACTCAACAAATAGAAAGCCGGGACGGAGGCAACAGCTTTCGATTTTTGAAAACAAAAGTTGAACCGCCTTTATTTTTTGCTAACGTCCCCCCTGTCTCCGCCCGCATTGGCGCCTGATCTTGGCGATAAGAACAACCGCCTTACGTTAGCTAGATCAAAGCATGAAAAGAAATTTCGTAGCCATCAAATAACGATCGTTAGACAACCCCTGGGAGAAAACCCGAGGCTAGAAGTTTGCCTAGTGCAGCCAACTCAAACGAAACCTGGCTGAATGAAAGCATTGCTATAAGGAACTTTATCTGGTCTATAAACCTATGATTAACAGATAAATGGTACCAGCAACCTAAAAAGTTTAGTTTCAAGTAATTCAAAATAGTTCTTTCTAATTGACCAAGAAAACAAAAAAACAGTATGTTTACAATTGTTGCAGAGTCTATGAATTGAAGATGGCGATATTCCGATTGTCCAGGTTAGCTTGTTTCCTTTTAAAAGCTTTTCAATGGATTTCTACCATTTTGTTTTAAATTTTTTTTTCAATTCTGAATTTCAATTTTCAACCGACACACACATTTACGGCGAGGAGCGGGCAGTGACGTTGAAAGAACGTTTGCGGGGTCGATATGCGAGATTTTAGTAATGAACCGATTCACAAAATTGGGACAGTACGGTCGAGTTGAGTGAACTGTTATAAGTTTCAGACAACCTCTAGGTGTAAAAGCTGAGGTAAGAAGTCGGCTCGAAAAACTCACTCAACAAATAGAAAGACGGGACGGAGGCAACAGCTTTCGATTTTTGAAAACAAAAAGTTCAAACTTTCGTAACTTATTACGTTTTGGTCGAAGAGACTGGTTGAATTTTTGCTGGGGTATTCGAAACTAATTTTAATAATTGGTTAACAAAACCTGTTAGCAGTTTATCTCTAATTTTTTGGAATTTTTGTTCAAGTTAAGTCAACGAGAATTCAAAAGTTAGAGTAGGGTTTTGGGTTTGTACTCAAAGTGCATCGTTCAGAAGTTTACTGCAAGGAAGATTGTTGTAAAAATCAACGTTTCACAGTTTTCTTCCTTATTCTTCCTAAAAAATGTTTGATCTTTGATGTTTTGATTCATCTTGGCTCTGAAATTTCTGAAGGACGCCTTTTATCTTTGAAGTGACAGTTGGGTCCTCGTCTAGACGATTGTAGACGTAAAAGAATCGACTTTAGACGTAGAAGAATGTAGAGGTAGAAGAATTGTCTACATTTGAAGATTGTAGACGTCAAAGGCATCAAATGACACTAAATAGCTGAGCTGCTTTGGGCGCAGTGGGTCTGGCAGGAGGTTGGAGAAGCGGGACAGCTTTGGAGAGAAAAAACGTTTTTCAATTTAACCCCATAAAACAATTTTTTTGTTCAACGCCTTTTTGTCCCATAAATCACATTTTTTTTTCAATAAAATTTTTTTTTCCAAAATTGTAGACTTTCACGAGTCGCGGCACCAATTATTCCTTTGATTATAGGACGGTCATTTAAACGGCCGGGAACCGCTCAAAAGAACTCATTTATTTTCAAGGCTTCTAGAATAACTGATGACATTTTTCCCATAATTCAAACAACTTATATTGATAAATTTTTCACGATTTAGCAACTCCAGAATATGGGCATTTGAACAACTCTCATCAATCTAAACATTTTTGTGAACAATTCAAAGCATCATAAGTTAGTGCGATTAGTCGAAGCTGAACAGAAACAAATTTCATCAACTACGACCAACAAACAAACTTTAGACAAAAACTGAAACTAGGCTTAATTTAGTTTAAGTTTTAGATTCTAGGGATAAAGGCTTTTCTTAGTTTTAAGATAGATTTTTAGTTGAAACCGACCCAAATTTTTTATATGAAAAATGACTACATTATAAAATCTACAAATAGTTAGCCGCGCTAAAATGTCAATCTATTAAGGTTCTGGGACTTCGAAGAAATTCTTTAACGGGATGCAGTGATGCAGGGGCGGATCTTGGACTTTTTTGAGGGAGAGGGGTGATTTTCAAAAGTTTTCGAAATTTTCGCCGACCTTTTTTTTATATTGACCAAATTGATTCTCTCTTCCAAAACACTAAAAAGACCTTCTTTCGGCCAAACTTTCTGCGCCGCAGGCAAAATTGTGAAAAAACATGCCGAAAAATGCGTTGTTTGGGACTTTTTGGATTTTTTGACCAAAAATAGCGTTTTTTTGGCGCGCGCTGCCCCCTCAAGTTCATAAATGTTCGCGCCTAAGGCGTCCTTAGAAAATTTTAGATTCCGCTACCAAAAATTGATATCTCCAAATAGTACAAAAAGGGGGTCAAATCCCTGAGGTGGCTGTATTACTAATTTGGTCAATGACGAGATTGATAAAGCAGAAAAGACGAGACAACTAGATTTGTGAGCAAAAACTAAAGTTTGTATAATTCGTTGCTGTCATTTTTTTTCGAATTTTCTGAAAAAATCAATACTACAAAGCCTTAAAATTGACAAAAAACTAACCCATTTCTGTTCCAATTATCCTGCTGCAACCCTATCATCTATCAGGTTCCAGGAGCAAAAACTCCAGCTCCTATCAGACTGAAATTGCCCCCAATTTTGTTCTTAAAAACTACACATGCTGATTGAATTTATTATTTATTTAAAACTAGCGTATTTAGATAAAAGACATTATGAAGCGTCCTTACTTGTCAGACGAAAGCGAGTGGAAATCTGAACTTGAAGTTCTCGCGAAGATTAAATTCAAAGTCGAGATCCAAGCAGTGGTTGCCTCAGTCTCAAATTTCAACTTCCTCGCCACTTACATTCGAGACAAGATCAGAACTCTGTCATTTGGGAGTCTAAAGTGTGATTCTCAAGCTTTAAGTGACAAAATTTCATTATTAGAAGACCAGCAAAGCACATCATCGGGCACTGACTTGTCTGAAGCTTCACTGCTGTCATCAGGGGGTGGTAGTCAAGACGAAATATCAGACGACGAGTATGATCATACAAGCGAACAGTTTGAAACCCATGATCATTTAGACATGATATTATCATATCAAGTTGACGGTTCTTGTGATGAGTCAAAAGAATAAAATTAAAATTTTGTAAAATCAATTTTCGCTGAAAAACAACTTCTTGTAATGGGTTGTCAAAAATGATTATGTTATCGCAGGTAATGAAATTTGATTGTAAGTTAAGGAAATTTTATCAGAAGTAAACGAAAAAGTTTTCTAAGAAAAGTCAAAAAAATCCTAAAAACAAGTCTTATCTAATGATCAGAACCTGATCAGATCTTATTTATTCATGCAAAAAGCAGTCCCGAATAATCCTAATTTTCTCAAATTCGCTGGTTTTTAAAGAGTATGAACAGCAATGTGCTGTGGCGTATAGCGCGTCGATAAACATCAAAAATTGTTTCATTACGAGGCCAAACTGTGCATTCTCTGCATTGTAAGCGGAGTCCGCAACAAGCCAAAATCATATTTGTCGCGGAATCCGCAACATTGCTACTTTTCTTTGATCTATTATGCTGTTTTGGATTCCTCAAACAAATACCCAAACCATTGTACCGCTCAAAATTGCTCGAAAAATAGGCGAATATACGGAATCCGCAACTGTATTTGCGGAATCCAGAACAGTTTGTGGCATCCACGAGCAAATGATAAAAGATTTGTATCGTTAAATTGAGCTGTTGCGGAATCTGCAACTGTAAGAGGAATCCGCAAATTGTAAGTGGAATCCGCATTTTTGTTTGCGGATTCCCTTTACATATATTTATATGTGTAGTAGCCTTTAAAATTATCTTTTAAATACATGACTTGATTTCACTAGAATAGAAATTTACTAGAATAGAAATTTACTAGAATGGATCAGTTTTTGGGATTAATAGAATCCCAATTACTGACCAGTATTTATGATCGATGAAATCCCAAATACTGAAATAATTCGACGATTTTCTATGCGTTGGGTTTCTAATCACTCTCAACCTAATGACCCCATATTAATGAATATATTCTTTATTTATTCCACATTATTCCAGTACTAGGGATTCCATCAATCCCAAGTACTGACCAGTAATTGGGATCGATAGAATCCCAAATAGTGAACTAATTCGACGATTTGCTATGCGTTGGGTTTATAATCACTCTCAAACAAATGACTCCAAATAATGGATATATTCCATATTTATTCCACATTATTCTAATTTTTGGGATTTCATCAATCCCAAATACTGACCAGTATTTGGGATCGACGGAATCCCAAATACTGACCTAATTTGGCGATATGCTGTGTGTTGTGTTTCCATACACTCTCAACCCAATGACTACAATTACTGCATTTATAGGGCGTTATGCTTCAAAAATCAGTATTTGGTATTGACGGAATCCCAGATACTGACCTAATTTGTCGATATGCTGTGTGTTCCATACACTCTCAACTCATTGACTCCAAATTTTGAAAATTGTACGGTGTTGTGTTTGCAAAATACTGAAAGATGACATACACCGATTTAGGTAACCAATGTTTTACGACTTGTTCGTGGATTCCGCTGACAATGGTTAAGTCTTTGCTTTTAAATTCCGCATTGCTAGAAACAAGAATTCTAGCTCAGCTTTTAATTGTTCATATGCAAGTTCAGTTTTGAACAAAACTCGGAATATACTTACAGTTTGCTGAATCCACTTACATTTGTGGATTCCGCGTACATTTTGCGGAATCCATTTACAGTTGCGGAATCCAGAACAACTAGCTATATTTGCTTGTTGCGGAATCCGCAACAAAACAATTGTGCCGACAAAAATTACGTTACAAGTATATGTATGCGGAATCCACTGAAGTTTTGTTTGTGGACTCCACTCACTTTTTGGAACATATTTTAAGACTTGTCTCTGGAATCCAGGAACATACAGACACAAAATTGTGCTCCTATCCAGTGCACAGTTTGGCCTCATAATGCTATTTGTTCCCTCCGCCGTAGATGAGGTGTGAAGAAAAACCGTTGAACTCAATCGTTTATTTAGTTGACATTATTGATTATTGTTCCGATCGGTATTAATAGGGTTTTGCTGTTCCATTTTTTTCTGTTACTAAATTGCTATGATCACAAAGTTCTGTGTTTGAAACATAAAATAAGCGAGTGATATAATCTTAAGGTCAACATATCTTAAAGTCTCTCCGCGTCCAAGCTGTGGTACCTTGATTAAATTCTGGAAAACTAAGATCAAGACATTAAATTATCGTGGGATATAGAGGTTTGAATAGTTCACGTCTCGATTTTCTAACATGTGTTCGGGAAATTCTCGATTTTTTTGGACAAGAAAATATTATAATTTCCAAGTTACGTTTAATACTCGACGACGTCGGTTTTTGTTTAGCCAGCATTGGATGTCTGAATCTTAATGTCCCTGCTGATAATCTCGATCTGAGGGTTTCGGCTGAAATTTGACTCCTTTCGGTCAGGGTCTTGAGAGTAAGAAGTCCTTTATCATGTGAGATTGTTTTCTTGAGTACCAACCATTGATCAGCTCATTTGGCCAGGTTCTCCAACAAACCCTTGTTGTGAGGAGTCTCGTCAACCGAGGTAGTTTGCCCTCCAAATTATAGGGACACCGATGGCCTGGATTGAACCTTTCGGACCTTTTTTGTTCTGGCGCGACTGTCACACTGCTCTCGACGCTGTTTGGCCGAAATTAGTCCCATTCAAACTGTTGATTATCAACATCCACACGTGATGATAGACGTAGCGGCGATATATATTTCCGTATTCGGTTTCCGACCAAATGGTAATTCAAATAGAAAAAACCCCGTAACATGTTTTTTGTGACTCGAAAATCTTCAATAATGTGTCAAAAAATATCCTGAGTATTAATATAATTCGGGCTTAGTTTAACTGCCTCCAATCTACGTTAAAAGTCTTGGTTGAGCTTTCCACCAAACTACAACCCCGTTGATCCCCAATAGGACATAACTCGGTCAACTTGTTTTTAAACCCAGATTATTGGTATGTTTTGATTGGTTTGGGAAATACTCGGCCAACTTGTTTTTAAACCCAGAATATAGTGTGGGATAAAACCTTCCGAAATTTTGATGACTTTCTTACCTCCAGTCGACCGTGTGTGCATGGCTGAAGCATATTTGGAAAACTGGTCGATTGCTGGATGTAAATTTAAATACCTAAAGGATCTTGTAGAAGACTGGCTCATTTGAACTGGACTACTTTGTTCGGTCCTTGTATCCTAAGTAGAGATTGATAGGAATCAAATCTGATATTAGATTTTAGGTTCTTACCGAATTTGGTACAATGTGGGCAACCTTTACCTATTTGCATGATATTTTGGCGCAACCGAGGTCACCAAATATACTGAGCGGCATCGACCGTCGCTAGTTTTTCAGCGTGAGGTCGGTGAAGTCGAACCAGGATCACCTTCTGCAAAACATTCGGAAGAGCTATCCGATTATTCACCACAATACATCTGTCAACTACCGTCGAAAACTGTCAGAAAGACTTGAGATATGCATTAATCCTACTGAACCCTCCGTAGTCGTTGTTAATAAGAGCCCGTTTCATCAGGCGAAGGATAGGATCTTCATCTGTGATCTCTGCCAGCATGTCCGCATCGAGGATTACCACCAGACCTGACAGCGACATCCTAACTGGAGCGATGATCGAAATCTTCAAGATGCCCAAGCCGAGCACCTGTTCCCATTGACGGCGATCTGGGCGACTCTTTCCTGCTATCAGTCTGCGTGATTGAAATTTGGCGAGTATTCGGGCTTACACTACCTTTAGTGCTGCTGATCTATCAGCGGATGACTTTCTCCGCGGACGAACTGCCCCGATCTTGTTGTTTGGCGAGACCTGTTCACTGTGGGCTTAGGTCCATTCAAGGTGACGAACTGATTTAAAAGGCGTTTGAAGCTATCGTCTCTGTTAGCAGACTGATACTTTCCACTCTGACAAAGGAAAAAAATTAATGAAAAAGATGCCGCAAACTTCAAGTTTAGTGAAATACAGAAATCGATCCGCTAATAGACGAGAAAGCAAATTGAGACTGATAGCTTGAGAGGGATTTGCTAAAATGGCAGCAATTTCGAAAACATGCTGGGGAAGAGGCAATTGCGCATAAAATAGGCAGGCTGCAGTCTGATTGGACAAGATTTCGTGAACAAATTAGCCCGCCCTGTTACAGTAGTTTGGCTTGTGGATAACTCTGCTCTGATTGGTTGAAAAAAATCTCGTTTGATAAGCAGCCCCCTTGTAGCGATCTGACGTTTGCACATAAATCTGAATAGTCCAAAGGAATTACATCATATTTGACGCTCTCTGGCGACATAGCACCAGTATGAATACTGACACCTGATTGGTCCAAGTTTGCAGAATCGGGTATTATGTTCCGGCAAAGGTTATGCTGAGTACTGGACTTTTGATTAATTGGAGAAGCGATCGATATAGACTTTCAACTATAACATTGTATAACTGGTTCGTGAATGAGAGTGTTACGGGGCAATTGGCTTCTGGTTGAATGATGTCAACGAAAACGTCTAGAAAATTGCACGCATCGAAAATTTTGCTAATGCACTTGACCAATTATTTTTCGTCAAAATTACTTGGTAATGGTGCCTCGAATTTAGGAAAACGGGATAAATAGCCAAGTATTCCTAGTTTACAAACCGAGTGTTGGGTGATTTTGAAATTGAACGGTAATAATTGATTTGCCCAGAGTACCAGGCGAGACTGGTGGGTTTTGTTTTCCCTGTTCGTTTTTAGTTTCAAAATAATTGCTTTATGGTGTGTTAGTATCTCAAAATGAATTCTCATAAGTAATTACAAAATTATTCACAGGAACAGACTATAGCGATCAACTCGAGCTCGTTCTCGCTGAATTTTTGCTAGTCGTTCAGAAGGCGCGAAATGAAGCGATTGGTTCCCATACCTCTTTTTTGGTTTCTTGTTCACGGGCAGCGCCCAGACCACTATGGCTGGCATCACACTTGACTCCAGTCCTGCTATTTTGGTCGTAATGATGCATCATCTCACTGTGAGCGATAAGCCCGAGAATGATTTTGAAAGCGGATTTTTGACTTTCGCCCA